AGCTCGCCGGCGACTGCATGAGACGGACACAGCCATCACCGGGTTGAACGGTGACGATCTCGTGCGTTCTGTTCTGTCGGTTGTACCTAGTGACTCTGTACGGCAGCCCGTTGGATAACGCGAAGAATGCGTTGTTGACGTTCGCCCGCAAGCCCATGTGCAGTGAAGGCCTCCTACCGCAGTCCACATCCCTTCCAGACTTGTTCACCTGGTGGGTGTGTTCACCCGTGCTGGCGTCCAGACATATTCCTAGACGCTTCGTTCAACGTGTGTTGCAGGCGGCGAGAGATCACGTGAGGAGCTCGGCGTGAGTGCGTTTTACAGATAAACATGGACGGTGAAGCACTATCAAAAGACTTGGTTGAGTGGTGGGTGAGTGGCGCAACCTCCCTCCCCCTGCTTCCCCCCGCAATGCCCATCGTGTCTTTCGGCGGTGTTCTTAGCTGCAACGATCCAGCGAATGATGTTCAACAAGCCCAACCCTATCCCACGACCCAAAATCCATATTCCAAACGCTCTCACCGTGCAGACGAATCGCCTCTACCGCATGTAGGATGGAGTATATGGTGGACCGCGATCCCGTCCTCTGCAATAGTTTGAAAAAGGCTTCGACCTGAAGGCGAGTATGCATCACGAGTCATTTACTTGCCATTCTCTTTACTTTTTCTGGAGCACGAGGTGTTGAAATCCTTAGTAAAAAGTCTGAACACTGGTAGGGATGAAAATTGCCCTGTATTCTGTCGTCATGAACTTTTGTGCGCAGACACTATGCATTTCTTTTTTTTGTTTGGGCGGCGTCACGTGTCGTGTATAGGTACCAAAGCATAGACACCAAAGAACTTGGCGATCGCTCCACGCCCAGCAAATATGGCACCAACCAGAAACGGCCCACCGTCGTTTTGACGTAAGACAGCAGGGGTGTTTTCGCGCACCAAACTTGTGTATCAGCTCTCCGATGCAACCAGAATGGGCAAACGCCCGATGTGGACGTAAAAGTCGTGGGCGTCCAAGGCACGGAGTTTTCCATTTCAACCTTTGTGGATGTTTTTTCTGTGTTTCGCGAAAAGTCGGAGACAAAAAATATCGACCTAGTCTTGTGTTTGTTTTGTTCTTGTTCGGAT